GCCTTTGGTCTTCTTATATGACTGCTTGAGTTTTGTTTCTTTTCCATGATAATTTCTGTTTCTCACCACGTTAACTATTTCACCTCTCCATTTTGATGCTCCTTCTCCATCATGACCCAGAGTTTACCGCTGCTAACAGTTTTCCTTTGGTGGAGATTAACTTTTTTAGAGCAGCAGGAGTCTGTTTTAGAAAACGTTTTGGATTTATTTAACTGTTTAATATATCTGGATCTTCAATTGTTATACTCAAGCTGCTCTGTTTCAATCTGATTGGTGTGTAAATAATAATTAAGACAGATATATGAACAAAAAGATCAAATTGAAAATACAAACAGAAATTATCTCTTTTTACTTGTCCTCTTAAAAATTGTGATAGTAAAGAAATCATATAATTTCCCCTTGAAGAATCCAAGTGGAAGCTAATTTCAGTGATTTTTTATTAATTCAGTATCTAACATTTTTAGATGATAAACGTTTTTTCTCCATTTGCATCCAGCTTCCTGAATTAGTTCTACAGAAATGCCTTTGAATGAAAAATAAAACTGAAATATTTTACATTAAAAGACAGAGAGCTCATTATTGTGGGAAATCATTTGTAGCCATGATAACACAGTGACACCATCAACAATAATACTGTTCCACCTTTAAATAGTTGATCATATTTGAGTGATTTTTAAGATGAAACTTACTGTTTTGTCACTCGTGATTCATCCACCCATCTCCAGACATTTGTCCCTTTCAGATTGTATCGAAGACCAATCCAGGACTCTCCATATCCATTTAGCTTTTTCACAAATTCCTGATTGAGAAAATATTTTTAAAAATGGTAATTTTAAAAATTGTATATTTATTTCAGCACATGTAGTATAATAATAACACTGTGTCATCATACAAAAACCTCTCTTAAACTATTTAACAGTAGATCAAAGTTTGTCATTTAATACTCTTTTATTTCAGAACTATAAAATTTATATAATTTTAGCTTCTTTTAATCAAATTAAAAATATCTTTCCTGCCTTAATGAGAGCTTGTTTCATCGCTCAGGTTTTTATAACCTGCTCTCAGTTTGGCAGACGGAGCTTATAAAAGATGTTTCTGCATCATCTGAGACTCAAAGAAAAAATACCACATTTTTTTTGCATTTGATTACCAGATTTTACACAAATACCCAAATTAATCAAGATTCTTTTCTCTCTAATCTTCTAATAAATCATAAACAGCATATTTATTTAAAATGAAACTTTTTAAAGTTTTGCTGTTTAATTCTACAGTACTTTAGTAAAATTTGGCAAATAAAATATTCTGATCAAAACTAATAACTAATGATAATAATAAGCTTGTGTTTAGTCTATATTAGAAAAAACTGTCTAGATCTACTTTAAGTCTTTGTGTGTAATGAGGGGGACTTGGGTTCAAATCCTTGTTGCGTCAGAAAGAACTTTGCCAAATTTGGGAGCAGCTTAAAGGACACAAACATCTGAGAATTTGTGCTGAGGGGAAAAAGCCAGTGTGTTTTCACAAAGAATTAAAAAGTGATACATGTTTGTAATCCATCTCTGAAAACTGGTCTCAAGTCGAAAACAAAAAAACACAGCGAACAAGTAAGCAGATAGTAAACATAGTTTTATAACTGCACAAGATCTATATTGTTTGAACTTTTACCTTTGGACACATCTAATAAAAAATGAAATAGGTTTAATTATAATGTTGTTCTAAAGATGATAAAGCATCTCGCTACAAAGGAAAGTAAAATAAACTTATCTTCCCGTTAGTAAGACATCCTTGTACTCCTGGTAGCAGGGAAACAGGAGCCTTTACTCAGAATTAATGCGTTGTTAATGTAAGCTCAGGTTTACTGGGGGATTTTCAATATTAAAAAGCTGCTAAACAACATAGAAATACTTTTTTACTTGTAATATGACTGTGATGCCTTGAATTGCTACTAATTTAACCCAACAACATTACAGCAGAATTTGAAGAATATAATCTTTACTGAAACATTCAGAGATGCCAAACAACATGCACTGTTAACCAATGAAAACACAGAAATTGCTCACAAGCCAATCAGTGAGTTCTGGGCTTTTGAAAAGTAACTGACTGAGAGCCTGAAAGCAAATATTAATGCGCTCTGGGCTTAATAAAGTTTTGGAAAATAATTGAGGGCTCAGACAATGAGGAAAAAAAGACTATTTTAAATAAGTACAAAAACTTTATGAGACAAAAAGCACTTTATATTAATGAGAGCCCTGTGCTTGATGGCCGCTGCCAGCTTTTTTACATTAAGACTCTAGGAAGTCAGTTTTAGCCTGAGTGTGCCAGAGCTAGTCTGTTTAGCTGGTTCTGATATTGTGTGTGCATGTGGAGAGCTTGGCTGAATCGTTACTCCAAGAGATACGATGTGGGGAATGAGGAGCAGAAGACAGACCCTCTCCCACCCTGAGGAAAACACTGCCATTATTAGACCCACATTGTACGCCAACTGGGGCTCTGCCAACTAATTATTTACTATGTTTGTTTGTTCTAGAAGCTGATATTTTTTAATTTAGTGAAGAGTGTATAAGTTCATAGTCTGCTCTCTAGAATGCTTCTTGTTGCCTGTGTTTGAAATTACAAACAGTTTAGAGCATATTTTATGTAATGCATCGGATTTGTTTTATAGAGATAAAACTCATTCTGATATTCACAGATATGACATGTACAGCATTCAAGGCAGTAACATTGAGAAGATTAGACTTTGAGCTCTAATTTATCCATTTAGCAGAATTGCTGTTTTTTTAGCCTGATTTCTTTTTCTCTCCTATATTTCAATTGTTGATTGTTAAACTGTTTAACATAAAGAAATGGTTTTATTTTTATTTTTCCATGAAGGAACTTTCCTACAAAGGTCTTAAACTGCCTTTTCCATTTGTCACTTTTATTTTACAAAAAAAGAGATTATGCTTCATTAGAAGTTTCAACTTAATTGTTCAAACAATGCATTCAGAAAAAAAACAGCTAACAGAATATCAGCAGCTCAGACTGTGAGATGGGAAATTTATATCAAAGGTCAAACATACATCATTAGACAGACCCACCTGTTCCTCCTCATTGTTTATGATCACCAGATCAGATCCTCTTTCCTGACAGTATTTCCTGCTTTCAGGCCAGGTTTTTCTCTCCTCAGATTTAAAGTAACAGCTGCATCCAAATCTCGTCCATCCATCAGGACACAACTTTCCTTGAAACAAGAGAGTTTTAGGGAGCATCAAATGTTGCTTTCATCAGTCAACATTTTCAAAAATATGGAAATTTTTTCTTTAGCTTTATCTCAGCCAGTTTGTGTTTTTTCACTATTTTATATTCCTAAGCACTAGAAAGATCATTAGAAAAAATGTTAACCATAAAAATGAAAGCGTAGGGTTGATTTTAATGTCCAGTTTATTTTTCTCTTACCTTTAATTGTATAATTTAGCCTATTTATTTCCTCTTTCAGTTGTTGGTTTTTTTTAATGAGTATTTCGTAGCTGTCCTGAAGCTGACTGTTGTTTGCTGCCATTTCTAAAAAAATAAAATCAGTTAGTTTAAGCAAAAGAAAAATATTTCACCATTGCAATTATAAAAGAATACATTTAAAAACATACCCCACCTAAAAGTTTTGCTTGTAGGTGACTGTTTTTTGTTACCGTGTCTAAAGAATAAAATCAGTTAGTCTAAAAGGGTAAAGCAAAAACATTTACTGGTTTTAAGGATGAAATGTCTCACCGGAACATTTGACGTGTTGTTGGTCGTAGCCGTTCTTCACTTTATTAATGTCCAAAATGACTAGAGGATCAATGAAAAATAATCCATAAGTTAAACAATCAGATTTAAAGCACCGAATCTTATGTTAGCTTAAATATTATCATTATTCCCATCTAATGATCAGGTGAATTTCCAGAGTTTTAATAAACCATTTATTAGGAAGTAAAGAGTAAATATCTGACTTACTAATAATGTAAAAAGTAGAAATATATACAAAAGCAAATACAAGTGATTGTGCACAAATTCAAGTGAGGTGGTTTCTTATCATAATAAGTATTGGACCAATTAGATTGAATAAACTGTCTTTTGTTCCTTTGGTTTCATTTAGGAGGAGGGATTGCTGCTAAGTCAGTGATATGA